GATTGTATAATATATTCACTGTCTTTACAATAGGTCTAAAAAGACATTAACTTTATTGTAAAAGTGATTGTCATATAAATCGTGTCTTAAATTAGCCATATTTTGTACGTCAATCACATCTGAAAATCGTTTAAATTATTTATTACCACAAATGCATAGAAACAATACAGAGATATCATTCAAATATATAAAATAAATTATTATCAATATTATAACTTTAATCGATGGGAAAGTTATCTGTATTTAAGATCTCATTATATATTTGTCAAATATGTCAATATACTGTATACCAAATAATAATTAATTTCTATCATAATTTCGTGCTTTTTGTTCATATATAATTGTATATTTTTAATCATGGTAAACTCTAAAACTTATATTTTAAAAATACATTGCTCAATAGTTAAGCAATAATTGTCTAGAGTCTAGAACATTGTAACTAAAAAGTTAATTAGTTATCTAAAGGTCTTTGAAACGTATTGTATTAAACATGTTAAACCATCATTATTATATTTTAAAAAATATAACTAAGGTTATGCTAAATGACATTATTTAACAAATGATCAAGTAGTAAATTATCTAATGTTATCTTTATTATTTATAATTACTCCACACTTGGTTTTCTATGTTATAACTTATATTTAAAAAAACAAATTAAATATTCAAGTATGCAAACCGCGATGAAGATTGTTATTGTATGTGTTTGACCATAATAAGTTAAACTCAATAACAAAAATTTGCAAATCAAATTAAACGTGCTAAATATTTTTAAAAAAATTATCCTACAAAAATTTTCCAAATAAACGGTTAAAAACATTACAAAAGTGAAATGTTTTTAACAACAAAAGACAATTAAAAATTTTAAATTTTACTGTTAATATATTTGTCAATAAAGTGTCGTAACTATCAATATTTTGCGAAAACACTGGAAAATAACAAGTGATTTATTGAATCAGGGGAATTATTTGACCATTAAGGTTTATAAATAGTAAATGCAATAGAAATTTTGCACTAACAATAATAAACTAAATGTTTTAAACAAAAACCAATTTAGCAACAAATAAAGATAAATTTTATTGCATATATTTATTAATAACTTTGTATTTAATTATTAATATCGCATGCAATAGTTGTGTTAATAGTACAGGGGGTATTTAAAGCATGATGATAAAAAACAATATTATTCAAGAATAGCACAAATACTGTATAGTGACAGACAATTATATGTGAAAGAAAGATACAGTATTCGTATAATTAAGCAGAAAAGTTGTTTGCCTTCCACTCAATCGAGTTATGGTTTACGATATTTTGAGTTAAAACTGGAGAATAATTCTTATAACTCTTCAAACCATGAGATCGAGTAGTGTTTGACTTCTTTTTATAAGTTTTCTAAATTTCATTTTATTCAAGAATTTGTTATTTAAATGCATTCAAAAAGTTATTTCTGAAACTAATACTGTTGTGCAAAATTTGTGAGAAAATATGGTCGAGCCATACGTTGAGGCCCTTAAACGAGATATCAAGTAAATTATTGTCATTTTTCATTTGTTTTATTTATATTTAATTGGAGTTTAATTAAATGATTTGCAATTAGACTATTTATTAAATATTTTAACAATTTAACTAGAGAAATTTTGATTATTTTTAGATTTATTGATATATAAAAACTATAATTAAATTAAAAATAAAAATTATTTATTTAAATTAATTGTAAATAAATTTTGTTTTTACTAAAAATTCTGGAATGCTAAAAATTCTAGTTAGGTTATTTTAACTATTTACAGTAACAATTACTGTTATAACAAAATAATTTACAATTAGCATATAATTATATATGAATACAGCAAAATAAACAAAATAAATAATATTTCCAAGAAATATGAAGGGAAACGAGGTATTTTCTTAAATAAAAATCACCTTCAGTTTAATAATTTTATCGGCAAAACTAACCGACTATTTATTTGCACTAAAGACAAAACCCATTTGATTGATGGGTATTTGTATGTTAAATATACCTTTCATTTAAAATATCAATCAATAATTTGACAATGGCAATGACATTGGTCAATTTTACAATATTTAATAGGTATGCATATAATATAATTTTATAAATATAATAAAACATATAAAAAACATTTTATTAAATAGCTATATTATAAATATTTTAAAATAATAATTAAGCAGTATTACAGTATATTATAATCTATGTTAATTTTATGTAATATACTAATGGCTCTATTATTAGAAATAAATAATAAAAAGAGTATTATTTTAATTGCTAAAGACGTGCAAACTTTATGATATTTCTAAGAATTTTGCCATAAATTTATGCTTTATATCTCTTATATCAAAATTAAAATTTATTATTAATTAAGTTGCCGTTATTTAAAGGGAAATAACCAGGACGATTCTAGTGAAATTAATATTTATATCACATGTTAAGAAATATTGTAAAATTTAAGTTTTTAATTGATAAAAATCGTGATACGATTAATACGACAACTAATTTAATCTGTTGTTGTTTTTAAGATCTGGTTTTGGAGTAATTGAATGGAACCTTCTGTGGAGGCGCTGGAAGTTTAATAACGATTCTGTGATCAGTGTCTTCAGGAAGACCGCCGCCAAAAATGCCGACAAAATTGCCATTAAGTCTGAGACCCAGACGTGGACTTTCAAAATGTTGGACCAGTTCTCCAACAAAGTGGCCAATTATTTCACATCTCTTGGATTCAGAGCCGGCGATCAAATGGCGCTTATGATGAACAATA